TTGTCATCTTAAAAATATATTCTAACTGTTATTATTTGCGTTAGTTAAACATAATATTATTATTTTATAATAATCAGCCTTAATTTTAAGTTGACTAGTATAACCTTCTAAATAAATTTTTGAAAACTGTAAAAAAAAAACAAACAAAATTAAATAAGAACAACACAATCAAATTTAAAAATTAAGATCAAAAGTTCACCAACCTTGCGGGCTAGGTAAATTTAAATAMATTTACTATAAATTTTTGTATAATATGAATGTATAATATGAATAACGTTTTAAATAATATTGATTTTTTTTTCATTTAAGGATTAAAATTTACAATTCAAAATTCGTTCAGTTAGTTTTTACATTCATCCTTCAGAAAACTTCAATTTACTGTATTTGTGGTAGTTATAMCATATATTTTTTGTATATATAGCTGATTTTTTATTGTTTTTTGTTGCTCCATAATAATATAATATAATTAAATTTACTATGTATTGCAGGGGTGGCCCACATGAATACGTTCACAAGCCATATGGATAAATACATTGATATCAAATGACAAAATAATTATAAATACTTTTTATAATTTTATCATATTTTATCGTTAATAAGTAGATATTGGTGATTTTTTAATAAAACGTGAGCCATATACGACTAGGTATAATAATAGCCGCATGTTGGCCACTTCTAATATATCGGGTGTCAAAAGCCACTGTCCGAAGAGTTTACGAACACTCTTTTACTCAATATGCACCTGTTARAAGTCTAGAAAAAAGAATATATTAYAGCACGAGGCTGTCAGAGTCAGACTGAATTGTGTTAGTTTATATTTGACATGATACAATATACTATGTTTCTTTTCAAACACTAAAAGTTAAAATATATTTTTTTGGAGATAAAAATTCTTCAAAKAGATTGTGTGTTTCATTGATGGTATAAATGATTATTTCAATTTATTTTATTTTTATTTTGTATTTTTTTTGTTGTAGTGACAACATTTGCCCTCGGCGATATAGGCCATTGGGATACAAGGATTGATATTTTATTAAAACTATTAATAAAACATAAAATAATCATGGACTAGATATGATTACAGTATAGTATTTTAGATTTTTAATTTATTCGCAGAGTACGTCACATGATCACGATATGTTTATAAAATGTGTTGTCTATAGGAATACTTACTTTACACRATAAATTACATATGTTATATATAATTAGACAAAATAGTGATGCCTATAATARTACTCCAAGAGTCAAAATATTTTGAAATATTTGTAAACTAGCGGATCCGACAGACGTTGTCCTGCATGATTTTTCAAACGATTAGAATATTAAACAAAGTATGAAATTAAAGACAAATAAAATAATAATTTCTCATCAATTTTTTTAAAAACAATTCGTTATAACCAATAATGTATGTTTAATTTTATCTTAATGCGAGTTGATGAACATTATTTTTAGTCAATTTTTGAGGAGTATAAATGGAATAACTTGATGGGTTTTTAATACAAGAACATTCCACATATAGTTGCAGCCATGTGAAAATACCGGATTTTATGGATCCAATCCACAAATCGACMTTGTTTGACCTTGTTACTTATTAATAGTCATGGTAAATGCCTAGTGAATTGGAAATTGTAGACGTCTGAATAGAATGGAAGAGTCTGAAGGGATCACTTGGATTAGCGGCAGGAGAATAACTTCACCTTCAAATTGGAGGTCCAAAATTGTAGCTTCAAGAACATTGCCCATAATTTTKTTTATTACTAATCTTGTGCCGTTGAAAATGATAGGTGAGCCAACTTTTAATCGCAAGTAATGTAATGGCATTCCTGGTAAATCCGGTGAATTAAAATATTCAACAGGATAGTTGACGGCTTCGTCAGGATCGGTATGAGTGTCGATCGATTTGTTCAATATCTCATTGCCAGGCAATGACTGTTGTATTTTGAATTTAATACCGTCAACATAGATATTTTTGCGGMTAAAATAGCTCGTTCTTGAAGCCATGCATGATTAATATACATAATTAGTTTAGAAATATAGAAATATGCTCTCAATCAAAGGATCTTTCGTGTTTACCATGTTGCAGAAAWTGTCTAGCAATTTGATGCATTGCGTGTCTCCATGTAATGGTATTGTTCCGTTTCTGGTGTTGAGCAATTTCTCGAAGAATGTTAGTGCCAATGGATCGTATTGCTGTTGAACACGTACATTTGTGTTAAGACGTAATATACTGACATTTCGCCATAGATATGATTGTTTTATACATGCGTTAATTTCATCCACATATGTAGCGTGTGGAATGACCGGCAATGTTTGTCTAAAATCACCGAGCAGTAGTAGTAAAGCACTACCAAAAAGCCTGGTGTTATTATTATTAGATCTTTAATTATTCAATCGACCACCAATCTAATGGTGACAAAATATTCGATCACTATAATATGACGTCTTCTTACTCAATTTCTCAGAAGTCGAGAAGTTGGTGAATTGGATTTTTTTATTAAATGGTTGATACGGTTTTTGTCAATTCTTAAATTTTATATAAAGAAAGTAGTAACAAGAGTAAAAAAATATATATACTACACATTTAGAGTTTGACGAAATTTTGGACATTGTTTATGTAGAAAAAAGGATATATTATCTTTTCCCCACAAACAAAAAAATAACAAAAACCTTCTACCAATGTTAATTTTACAGGTGTTGACCATTTACCAAAATGTATCGATAAGTATAGAAAATGGAAAATGTGTAGTA